TAAGAAACCTAGACTTGTGACCTCAAACGAAAAGCAAAATTTAAACGTGTTTCATACATAATTGTCTGATAGCTCGTTGGGAAGTTGCTTCACTAACGTTTTTAACATTGATAAGAATTTCAGATATTCAAATTCGACAGTTGTAAATCTTAATTGAACTATTAAAGTGGAAAAATGAAAATTGTATTAATACAAGCGAGCTTAGTTGCAAGAATATTTCGGCTAGCTTTTGAATATTGAAATAGTAGTAATAGTTAAAGATTCCCTCGTAAAATTTACGGATAAATCAAACAAATAAAAGCTATTTTATCAGTTTCGTCTCTTTTTTTTTTAATTATTTTAGTTTGTTTTGGGTTCGTTGTTCGAGCTCATCTGTTCGCTTTGATTCGGTCCGTTGAAGCGTTCGATGTTCGTTGCACCACGTTGCGTGTTATTAACCCCGGATGACAATGCATAATTTGGGATAAATGTTGGCCAACTATAAGATGCATTCGGAAAGAGAAACTGAATGTGCAGAAATTTGATTTTTTGAATTTTGAAATCGGAATTAATTAACAATATATACGCTGGATTATTCAATATGCTTTATTAATTATTAAAATCGATCGAGAAGTAGACCAAGTGTTCGACTGTTTAAAATACTTTTATTTTGAATATTTACTGTTTGCATAAATTTAATTTTTCCATGTTTTTTCTTTGAACTTAAACAAAACAATCAAACCAATATACACCGTAAGTAAAAAATATGAAAAGGAACAACCAGAAAGGAAATGCCAAGCAATTAGTTAAACATAAGAATAGATGATGCCAACAATAAACCGCAATAAAAAATGCAATTGACATGACAAAAAGCAGCCTTTCAATACAAAGCCATTTATGTTAGTACCAAGGAAGATGAAACAATACAGAAAGACCGGGATTGTAGAAGGTTATCAGGCAATCAATGCCAACAGCAAAATTTTGTGCCAAGCAAATTTTTAGTGAAAAAACAACAACAGCAACAATAACAACAAAGTGGATTACAATCCTAGTATATGCAACAGACTTTAGTTAAGCCCTGCCCCTAGACAATGGCAAACAGCGAAGCAGTAGCAAAAGGACTCGCATATTTTCAAGGATATTAAAAGCAAGTTTATCAGCAAACAAAATGCATGCCACACGCAGCATGTTTTTCAGCTCTAGTCACCGTTGCAGTCAGAGTCGCGTATCCGGCTAAAAGGCAACGGATATGAATATGCCCGAGGGCTATCAGACAGCGTAAATGAGCGTGTATTGTAGATAGAAATTGCTTCGAAGATACACAAGCATACACGAACACGCAAAAAGCACGGCACAAGAAGCGCTCAAAAGACAAACAAAACGTGGCTAAATGGCAGCTCTCCACATTCCCCTCGGTCCAATCCATGATAGCCACAGCGTCTGCTTTGCCACTGATACGGGCAAATCTGTTTGGGCGTTAAAAGTACAAACTTCTTCACAGACACCCAACCCTCCCACCCGCCTTGGAAAACACAAACACACACACATACCTACAGCACAGCAAAGTTTTTCCAGAGCTGTTGCTTAGTATTTGTGCTGAATCATAATGACAAGTATTGATGCAATGATGATGTTCTTGCATTTGCACAATTTCACAACTCCAGCGTGACTATAGATTTTAAACAATTTTCATAAAAAATATTGCGCAAGGTTCTCTATAAGGTCTGAAAGTAGCCCGTGTTTAAAATTATAAAACGCGAAAACTTTTAGGGATCATACTTTCAAGCTATATAAAGGTTATGTTTGGCATTTCTTTTTATCCTATCTCAATTTTTACCCTATTCAAACGTCAATTCTTTTTCTCATTTTGTCAATTTCCATTTTACTGTCCTTTCTCATAATATCTTCACACTCAAACTATTTGAGAATTTCCTGTCTTTTTCAGGTTTAATATCTCGAATCATTTTTTGATTTTTCTCGTTTCCCTCCCTTTATACTTATAAGCGCACGCCAAACAGAAATTATCTGAGATCTAAGTATATATTAATATTAAATATCTCGCTTTAACTAATATTTTATGAATCTGTATTTATTAAATTAATCACTTTCGGGAACAACCATAGCAACAACTAAATATGTAAACTTCATATCCTTAATAGTCCCCGTATTTTCTATTAACATGAAAGTTTTATAGCGTATAGGGTTAACACCCAATGTCCCGAGGGAGGGTCACAGTAGCACCTTACCTATAAATCGCTCTTGCAATCGAATTCCAATGACTTTCATTTATCTGTGGGCTGGGAGCTGGCTGTAACCATTTCTTCCGCTTCATATTGCAAATCTACGCTTGATGCGATTATGGGCGGGGGACAGCAACAAAAACAAGAGAGTGAAGTGAATCCGTGTGCCCTCAAGCGGTACAAGCACTGATATATGTACCATAAAACAGAAAGAAGAAAAAGTAAAGTGCAGACTATTGGTACTGGTAGGGGGGAGGTCATACCACGACCAGTTAATAGCATTGCTCGTCTACGCCCACGCAATCAGTGGAAACATTTTTTACGTTTGTCGAGATACTTTTTAACCCATGCAGAAACACATAAAGACAGCGAAACATGGTTATGCAGTTGGCCAACTTGTTGTGATACTGCCAAAGGGCAAAGCAAACTTTTCGCTGGGGCTCTGCAAACTACCAAAGTCTGCGATTTGGGTTTAGCACTGAACCGTTCCATGTTCAGATGGGTTGCGGTTCGCTGCTCTCACACTTTTATGTGTCAAAATTACTCAAATGGAATGGGGAAAGTGCTTATGTAAGATCTTACCCATAGAACTGTGTACAATATATCAAAAATTATTTGTAATATTTGTGGTAAAATTATTATTATTATTATTTGTTAATATAATTAAAAAGACAATATTTAAAATGTCGATTTTTCTTCATAGCCCAAAAACTGCAATTTCACTTATTTTCCACGCCTATAAGTGGAATTTATAAGCTTAATTTAACAATAAAAATATAAAAGTATCAAATATAATTCATATTCTGAAATTCAAATATTTATGCCTTATTTCAGGGAATACAAAACTTAAGAAATGTTTGCATACAAAACTGGCAGTCTTATATCCCATAGCCCTTGAATTCACTTCATGTGAAACAAAATAAGCTAACTTGAGCAAATGCAGGCAATTTTGGGCAACATTTTGGGCCACTGCCCACATAGTTTTCAAGTTAAAGCCTCAGAAAAACAAGTGGGTGGCCAAAAGTTTACCGATTTAACCAATTTTCAGCAGCAGCCAAAGCAGCCCACAAAAACCATTACATTGACCGCAACGGGACAGGAACAACAAACAGCAGCAGCTGCTGCTGGCTGTGAACGTTGAAACTGAAGCTGAGGCTGAGCCAGGTCCGGAGGCGTGGCTACAGTTAAACCAGTTCAATGTACAGCGCGCTGGCCAAGTAAAAACTCATCAAACTATATTTTCAATAAATAATGACAGTGAACTGCCAGGGCGGTATGGGCCGGCTGAAGTTGGCCTCAGTGCCGGCCATTTTGCTTCTGCCAACAGCTTCATTGATTTTGTGCCATTGTAGGCAGCCAGCTACTCGAAGCTGGCGGGCAGGCGCGACAGTGAATCATAAAATAAATATAAAAAAAGGCAACAAAAACAAACCCAAGCCAAAAATGCGCGCGTACGTACATTTATGTATATTCCTCTGTGTTATAGTATGTGTGTGTGTGTGTGTGCTGCCACGCCCAGTTACCACGCCGTGCATTATGCAGCAAGCATTTGCATGTGTGGCAACAACTTTGGCAGCACCAGCTCCTGCCTTACCCCACCAGGCCCGCTTCAATTGAAGCCAGCCAGACGACAGACGGACAAGTCAACAACGCAACCTGCATGGACTAGCGGGACTTACAAACGCCTGAGACGATTGCAAAGTTGGCCCTAACAACACACTGGGACCAGGCTATTAGAACATTCCATGAAAAAAATATAGTTACTAAAAAACAAATTATTTACTCATTTTTCAAGACAGTAACTTATATTAATCTATTTCCTAAATAAATATATTAAGCAATTTATTTTAGTTCACTTCCATGTGAGGACTTTTATATTAACTATAAATTCTTTATTGAGGCATGTTTCCCATTTTTTATATGCCAAGCAGCTAGTTCGAATTTTAATTTGATTTCGACTAATCTCCCACTGTACCTGCATTTTTTTTTTTACATTTTGTCGGCACATACGTGTAATAAATTGCACTACAGGGAGCATTCGCAGCCTGGTTGGGGGAAGTGCCGGCGTGTGAATGGTCCAAGAGCGCAGTAAAAGCTGCACATGGAGTTTTTCCGGCCGACATTTAGCGGTCTTTCGGCATTTTCGGCTAGTTTATGGGCCTGGCCCAAGACCGAACCCAGAGCCCCAAACATACAGCTGCAATTTGTTGGCAGGCAATAGGATGTTTGTATCTATTTTAGCATAACAAGACTTTTTGTTGGCTTTGTTTTTCTTTTTTTGTTACAACTTATGCGAATTATGGTTATAATTTATATTATATATAATTTCTACATTCATTTGAACGTCTTAAACAATTTATGAAATTGTTTATATTAGTAAAAGTGATTAAACAAAAATGCTTCCGGCTGCGACAATGTACGCGCTATGATTTTGGGCTCGGTCAAAAAGGATGCTCGAAAAATGTTTATTGTTACTATTATTAGAAGACTTTATGCGTAGTCCGACATTCACATATTTCTCTACTTAAACCTTTAACAATTTCTCATTGCGCTCTTAAGCGCATTAAATATTTGAGTTACGAGTTTCTGCTTTATACAGAGACAGGCACCGCCCGCAAGACTACCCAGTCTTACATTTGAGTATGTTTGCTTGACAAATTTATGGTTAAGTGAGTGCACACAAGTGCCTTTTTAGGGGTAGGGGTAGAGGGAACTTGCGAGACGTTTGCCATTAAATTGCATTGATAGTCGTAATGTGTCTGGCACAAGCTCGTTGCTTACCTCTTTCAACTCCGGAAATATCTTTTGCGTAGCCTGCAAGTAGAAAGAAAAACACAACTTTTTAGTAAAACAAAATAATATTTGTGGTATTTTTTAATTTTAAGCTAAATGTTAAACGGCACAAACAAAAATGCAAATCAAAAAGGTCAAAGCCCATGTTCAAGCAGCCCAACCCAACCACGACCAGAAAAAAGAAAGGGACTACCCGACTTCACCTTGTGCGGCCGACAGGACTCAAGAGTTTTGGGCGCACAAAACCTAAAGTATTCAAATTAAAAACCACTTCAGTGAGTAAACTGCAGTCGGGAAAAATGTTTCCTTCACGACAGAAAAAAAACTTGACGGAAACCAAAGTTTAGAATTGAGAAAACTCGGTGCCTACCCTAAAATTTAAAGTGCACAGAAATTTTAATTCTTTACAAAACTCTACTAAAAGCGCCACCTTTTTTAGTGGAAATTATAATTTTACTTGGCATATTTAAAAGAAGAAACGAAAGTTTAAAAAAGGAAGCTTATATAACTATATAGTTTATTGAGCTCGTCTATTTAATGGACAACTAAGTAAAATATTCACCTAAAACATATTTATCATATTTAAAAAAATTCTTTATCAAGATTCTGTATCTAGCTACGGTTTTTTGTTTTTTATTCAATATTCGTATTTTTTTGGGATACATTTTGGTACTCTTGGTATTCTTGGTACAATAAAATGTGTAAGTGTTCGGTGAAAAGAGCTTCTGCTTTGAGTTATTAATGGTTTCAGAAACATTTTATAAAATGTAAATGATTAAGTTTAGAGTAAAATATTCTAAAAATGTTAAATATATACCATAATTTAACGTGACACATAACACTTGCCGCGATAACTTATTACTCAGTGCAAAAATTACAAACATATGATTTATCAATAAGTGCAGTAAGTCTATCAATTTTTAATGGAAAATTGCGATTAATCAGGCTAAGTAATATTTAAAAATAAAAAACCAGCGAACAGCGATTTCATGAATATTTGATAAGCAATTGTGAATAACTGGGAAGCTTTCCCTGATTATAACAGCACCTTGGTATATTCAACACCAAGGGATGGGATGGCATGGGATCTTAAGGTTGGGTGAACTATTCCGATCGCAATCCACAAGCTACGTGTCCCGCGCCTCTGATCACACTTATTCTAGTTTAATATCTATATATATATTCTCTTGATCTATTAATATAAAAATATATACATAATAATCCAAAATAATATATATACAAAATTTATATGTATATTTGTAATGAGACTCTAAGCTAAAATCAAAATAATAATAATTATAAAAAAATAATAATTTATATTAAATTAAATTCTACCAATGTAACTTTTGTTACACAAAATTTGCTTTTAGTTTAATCTATAATTTAACGAAACTCACATCCTCATCAAATTTCAGCGATTTCTCTTTTATGGCATGCATAAATTAATTTAGGTAACCTTCTCTTGTTTTTCTGCACGATGCACAGTATTTTGTTTATTTCAGCTGGTTAAACTATTATTTTTATTTGCATTTTGAATTTGAATTTTTCGATTTGGTTTTTGTTTATTTTGTGCACGTCTAATTAACGCTAAGTTCACATTTGCATATAACACAAATGTTGCGGGGTAATCGGGTGAGGATGTTAGGCAACAATGCACACAACAAATGAAAATCAGAATGGAATTTTGCTTTAATTGCAAAAAGCCAAAATGTAAAAACTATTTTGCACAATTTTTGGAGCAGGCGGAAGAGCAAGACGTGTTTTACAAATTACCACGAACTAAATTATTGTTATCTCTTCATGTTACCTCTTGTTGTTGTGCTTGTTGTTGTTGTTGTTGTTGTTGTTGTTGTATGTTTTGCAACATTGGCCAAATGAAAATTAAATAATATTAATAATTATTAGTTATTATACAATGCATATGTATGTAAGTGCTATTATTATTTATTCGCATAGGCATGACTCACGCGAATTAATGCATTGTCGGTTAATTGACTTTGAATGTTTTATGGAGGCTGCCGCCGGCCAATTACATTTTGCCTTTGCAATTGGCGAGTGTTAAAAATGACCACACGAACTTGTGCAAATAACTAAAAATTATTTTTGCTAATTATAATCAATGCTATCAAGGTGTTATCAGTTGTTAACCATTCAACAGCATGTGTGTTGCGTGAGAAAATGAACGGGTAAGCAAACAAACAAATATTTACGATATATTAAGATGTAATTGTCTATCGTTAAATATCGTTATATATTCGATAAATTGAACATATTTAAGAAAAATTAAATTATATTTAAAAAATTAAAGAAAATAATAAATTAATATGTGAAATAAATATATGTAATTAATGTTCAGGTACAAATATTAAAGTAAATTTGGTTTCAATATTATATATACTGTACTATATTCTCATACGAATATATCGATAAGTCACTCGATTGCCGATAAAATGATTGCTACAAATTATTTGAGCATTGATTGCTACAATTTATTTACTAACTGTTTAGATAAACTAACATACACACACTTACACATATAGACAAATTGTACATAGTCCCTTTTGTCAGAGTTTTGCGTGCCTTTGCCCACATTTTTTCTCTTCACTTGCTTTTCATATGTGCACTTTCTTTGATCCTTTGATCACACACAGGATAAAATGACAGTTCCACTCATCATTTTTTTCCATTCCTCTCTATATGGCCCACTCTTTCTCACAAACACACACACACACACACAGATACAACAAACTGCCAACGGCCATAAAATCTGTAGCTGAAAAACTAATTCATTTCAGATTTTAATTCATTAGATTTTTTCTTCCTTTTTTTTTTTAAATGGTTGCGGCCAGGAGAACGAGACAGTCTTTTGTCTCGTTGCCTTGCTGGCATTTTAGCTGCGGGCGCAGCCATCAACCCCACCAGCCCCCCAACCCTTGGTTTTTAAAAAACGATGCCGACAAACTGCATACAAAAGCTGCAGTAGAATGTCAAAGTGGTATGCAAAAGCTGCCATGGTATGCGTTGTATCATGTGTGCAGCTGTGTGTGCATCTGTGTGTGCAGCTGTGTGTGCGTGTGTCTGAGCAGTAAATTACTAGTAAATCCAGCGAGTGCACTCAAGCCCCCATTTATTTTAAATGCCAGTCGCTAAGTAATTGAATCAAGTTTCTCCAGCTCACATCCAAAAAGTATGCAGCCCAACTTTAAGCGGGAGTCTAGTCTGAAGAACAACTTTACAAGAACACAAAACTCCTCGATGCTTTTTTAAAAGAAAAATATATGTGCAATTAGTTTAAATTGTTTTAAGTTTTTGAACCTAATGCAAACTACAAACACCAATTTATATTATTATATTTTAGTCTATTCATAAAGTCTGACTAGTTATATATAATTTCTATATATTGAAACATTTGTTAAAACTCCTGTATTACAACTGTCTTTTTACACTCAATTTGACTAATCAACTCTTATGCACAAAAAATAAAGAGAGAAGAAAAACAGCGACTTAAATAATTCAACTTAACGCTTGAGAGCTGGCAAACAATTTCCTACATCATTTCACTTTTTCTCCATGTCTCTCAGACTTGCATGCGCATATTTAAATTAGACGAGGACGAGACGAAAAGTTGAGCAGCTGCCAACTTCATTTCCAATGCAATTTAACTAATCGTGCATGGCAAACGAACAGTTAGTGCAAATATATACGTACATGTATGAGCAGAGGGGACCACATTGCGTATACGCAATGGGAAATGTGCAATGTGAAGCTGGCGTTGGTTTAATTATAATTTACAAGGAAGTATATGGATGGTGCCGATGAGCGGGTGTGTGTGTGTGTGTGTGTGTGTGTGTGTGTGTGTGTTTGTGAATTGTCCCATGTAGCATGCGTGAGACATTCATAGCTTCATTAATAATAATTGTTGAAATTCCATAATCATGTAAGATAATGCCCATATGGGAGAGAATGGGAGAATGGGCTTGCCAGGCCATTTGGTCATCTGCGCCTCGTAACATTTACTTTAAAAAACGTGTGGCAGACAATGTGAAAATTATAAAATATAAAATAAAATCTGAAATCATCAAGGCAAAGCTGCACGGCCAGCAGATACCCTGTTAATTGTCTGATCATTATCTGAAATGTAAAGCCATTTTAAACACATTCAAAACATTGCAATTTGGAATTCGACAGTTAGTCGAGATACGGACTAATTATCGATATCTACATTGACTCGTCTATTAATTCATTTACTTTATGAGGCCGTTAACGTCTCCTTTAATCTGTTACCTACATTTGCACAACTACATTATACTCTTTATTCAGGTTACAGGGTATTTAAAAAAATAAGGAATATGTGTGCCATCGTTTCGGTCGTTGTGTTGCGGTCTCTGTATCGCCTCGGAGCAGCTGTGGGTTGTAGTTGTTGGTACGCGTTGTGTATTGTAGCTGATGTTGTTGTTGTTGTTGTTGTTGTTGTTGTTGTTGTTGTTGTTGTTGTTGTGGTTGTTGTTGTTGTCAACGTTGCCACAATGGCAACCGACTGCACATTGCACAAATGGCGTGGAAATTAAATTGTATTAAGTAATAAATGTTTAAAGCTTGTGCATTGTGCAATGTTAATGTTTATTGAGCAACGGCGGGGGAGCAGAGAAACTATGCAGTTGCGGCTGCTTTTCCCTTACGCTGCACAGTGGAACAAGCACATATAAATAAGTGTCAAATATAGCTTATGTAAAGGCTGTTTAGGCTGTACCTAAAGTCATTTTATTATATTTTATAAAAATATAAAATATAGCAAATTATTAAGTAGTAGTATACAATACGTATACCAAATGGAAGTTTGTTGTTCAATAAAATAATTCTAAATACTGCATTCGAATTTTATTTAATATTGTTATATGGTTAACAGAGAAACTGTTAATCTAATGTACATTCATTTTGCAAATAATTATTTTACTGGCCTTGTAATAATTTATTCCCAATCTATTTAACAATCTGCGCCTGCACCACTATGCAATGTCTGT